CAAATCCAACATCTTTAAGTTTCAACTTCTGCTTCAGTAAAAGAGGTATAAAACACGATTTACCTGAAAAGAGAGTGGGGAGGATGAAAGGAGATAGTAAACATGAAACACCAATACCTAAGTAGTGCCAATAAATATTAGTTACATTCCCTTAAAGAAATGCTGAGGTGAAAAAACTCTGAAGAATCCTCATTACAGGAAAGAAGAGAACACTTCCTGGAAGCCTCCTTTATACATTCCACTTTGTTAAGCACTTTTTCATAATATCTTACTTAAATCTTAGATATCTTTTAAGTATCTTCTCCATTTCCCTGTTTTAAGAAGGTTAACAAAGTAGGTCACGGAAGTGTTGCGTTCTATTTGGAAGCCAGGTCTTTCTGACTCCAAACATTAGGTAGGCTCTCTCTGCAGCATCCCTTACATGGTTACTAACAAAAACACATACTGCTCTCAGTACTTTTTTGTTTGTTTGCTTTACTAGCAATAAGTTAAAATCAACTGGGAAGAAGTTAGCTGAGCAACTGTATAAACATAATCTCTTCTCCAAAGAGAAGACTATTTTAGATCTTAACCAAGCCTACGATCATAGTTAAGGTTCACTATCTAAAGGACCACAACTATTTCAACAATAGTTGTCCTTATAAGGAAACCACTATTTACAAAATCGAGGTCATCAGAGGTAAGTAAGCCACGGTACAGGTCACCCATGCATATACACTATAATATGATCCCCAGCTCTAACCAACAACTAAGACTACTGCTCAAAACCATCCCCAGCGGCCTTGGTGGCACCTGATTCATTCAAATAGGGTGCTATACAAATAGCACTCCTTACAGCAAACCCTTGTAAAAGTCTAAAACAAACCTACCATTTAATAAATTACTAACTTCATTTAAGATTAAGGCCCTAAGTAGCACAGAACCTCACAATTCCTATGTTATCTAAAAATTTCTCATTAGTGGGGCACCTGGGTGGCTCAGTCAGTTAAGCATCTGCCTCCTGTTTTCAGCTCAGGTAACGATCTCATGGATTGTAGGATCCATTCCCATGTCAGGCTCCTTGCTCAGCAGGAAGTCTGCGTGCAAGATTCTCTCCTTCTGCCTCTCCCTCTTCCTCCTCTCGAAATAAATAAATAAATCTTTAAAACTAAGTAAAAATTTCTTATTAGTATTACATAAATTATACCTTCTCACAAGCTATAATTCCTAGTCAACTGACCAAATCTGTGAATCATTAAAACGTGTAGGAAAGAACTTAGTATTTTATTCTTCAATATTTCACAGAACTGATATAGAAGTACTTCTTATAACCCCATATTAAATTGTAAGTATATTCTAAAACTTAAACTCCAATAGAGGTACGCCCAAAGCTTACAAAGCAAATGATTTACAACTGTGGTTTTAAAGCTCTTTCTGAAGAACACCTTAAAGAATTTGATAAAAGCCTTTCTACAAAAATGCAAATGTCTATGCATATAAAACTTAGTATGCTACTTTATGGTACCCCATTAAAGTCCATCTATAGTTCCCCTCAACTTATAGGGAATTCACTAGCCTCAGATAAAGACCCCTTATTTAGAAAGTTATTTACAGTTTTATAAGGTTTAACTCTCAGGTTTTTTTTTTTAAGATTTTTATTTATTCATTTGACAGAGATCACAAGTAGGCAGAGAGGCAGGCAGAGACAGAGGAAGGAAGCAGGCTCCCTGCTGAGCAGAGAGCCCGAGATCGGGGCTTGATTCCAGGACCCTGGAATCATGACCTGAGCCGAAGACAGAGGCTTTAACCCACTGAGCCACCCAGGCACCCCTAACTCTCAGTTTCTAAATAGCATGGTCCCTTATGTGGAATTTACATTTAGCAATTTATAATAAAATTTTATTTACACACATTTTAAAATTTCTTCTAAATCTCCTGAATTCTTGTAATACTAAAAAGCAACAACAACAAAAACACCTCTGGTGTCCTTGCTCCACAAATATTAAGAATGCTCAAGATGTGTGGCCCTGAACTAGGGATGGCAGAGAAAATTCCAAGATACCGCTCAAGGCCAGTGACCTTGAGAAGTTTACAATCTAGTTGTACAGTCTGTTCTACTAAAACAAAACAAAAAATCACCTCCTTTACACAATTTACGGACCATTTTGAACAAAAACAGGTGTGGTCTTTAGGCGAAAGCCTTTAAATAGATAGGAAAAGGGATACTGGAGAGGAAAAAAAAAAAAAGCAGAAAATAGATCCAGAGAAAATAAAGAAGGAAAAACACAACCAAAAGTTTAAATTTTCTAAGTAATATATACCTAAGAATGTGTTTGATTTACCAGATATACCTGGCTTGAACACCTTTATAACCACTTCCACAAGTCAACTGCAGAAGTGGGAACAAAAAAACCATTATACTAAATTTAATAAAATCAATAGCACAAAAATTACGCATTTCTATAGTCTACCTAAAAAAGTTACTGCAAACTATTAAAATAGTAAAACATTTTAAGCAGCTAAGAAAAAACAAAAAAACATGGCTGCCATGCTCTTACACTCCTATTATCATGCCCATAACAGAAGTCGCTAATTAAACCCACTACCCTTTCTCCCTACTGAGCTTCATTTCTTTCAATATAAACTTCCAGCAGATACCAGGGTGAGCACTAAACTGAATCCATTTCTTGTCTTGATAATTACTTTTCAAATACTGTTCAAATCTACTAATCGAAGCACCAAAAATTTATATATTTAATGTCAAATGAATTCATAATAAACTTCTTTTAACTTGTCTTCCAGAACACAAAATACTCTATAAAACTTCAAATTCTGTTTGTTAAAGAAAACTCAACACCATGGTCAACATAACATTAGGAAAAGATATTTTTTAAAAAATGTAACCCTCCACCCCCATGGAAAAGTTCCAGAAAACTGTATCTATTTTTTGGCAGCTCTCATTTTTTACCCTATTTGAATGAAACCAGACAAAATTACTCTTTCAAAAATCAATAAAATTAAAACTAAACAAGTCTACATCATTTAGAGATATAAAGTTTAGGGGTTGCCTGGGTGGCTCAGTCAGTTAAGCATCTGACTTTGGCTCAGGGTTCTAGGATTGAGCCTCTTCAGGCTCCCTGCTCAGCAGAGTCTGCTTCTGTCTCTGCCCACAGGGGCCTGCCGCCCACCAGCTCATGCACACGCTCTCTTGCTAATAAATACAAAACTTAAAAAACAATCAAGTTCAACAAAAAATTATGAGAAAGAAATATTGATATTGTCCAACATAGTTTAAAAGAAATACAATATTAATCAAATCAATATTAACAAAACTTTAAAGAGAATATATGTGACCATTTAAAATTTACCACTTCCTTCCAAAAAGAATTATGGTAGAACACAGATTCCCGATGTAGATGATAAAGAGGGAAACAGGGGCACCTGGGTGGCTCATTAGTTGCGTGTCTGCCTTCAGCTCAGGTCATGATCCCAGGATTCTAAGATCAAGTTGGCAAATGGGGTTCCCTGCTCAGTGGGGAGTCTGCTTCTCCCTCTCCCTCCCCCCCAATCATGCACACACATGCTCACTTTCTCTCTCGCAAATAAATAAAAAATCTTATTAAAAAAAAAAAAAGAAGAAGAGAATAAAAACATCCCCAGAATTCTAGGGATCACATTACAGGTGGGTGATGCTTAGGACAAAGTAAACTAACAGGAAGGAGTGAAAATCTGGATTCAGGAAGTTGTATGAAAGCACTGTGAGTTAAGCAAGAAAAACGCCCCAAATCTAGCAATGAAAAATACATAGGATTCCATGGATAAACCACGAGGTACCAGCTTCCTAGCCTTAATAGCAGGATTCGAGCTTTTATAAACACAGGCAAGGTTAACAGATGACAACACAATATCAGGAATATAAACATCATAAAAAGGGGCATTTCCCGACGCCACCTCTAACCTCAATCGGTACTAATACTAAAAATAATAGCTTTCAGGAAGTATCTGTTAGTGCCCATTAGGGAAACTAAAGTGTATCTTTTTTTTTTTTTAATATTCATTTTTAAGTAATTTCCACACCCAACATAGGACTCAAATTCACAACCCCAAGATCAAGAGCTGCAGGGTTTATTGAGTGAGCCAGCCAGGTGACCCAAAAACTAAATTTTAAAGTACATTTTAAAATACTTTTTTCCCTACTGTTCTTTGAGCAGAAACTCTACGGTAGGCATGACTGCAAATTATGTACATCCTACAAATCACAGACCTCCTCATATATACCCATGCAGTCCTTATACATTATTTCCTGTAATTTTAGGTGTAAGATGGTTTGAAAAAGCTTTGTACTACTTTTACAAGTACGAAAGTATAATAAACATTCCTGCTCAAGACCTTTTTTCCTCCCTAAAACAGGAGTTAAACACCAACCAGTTATAAAGACTCGAGACTACTCATAAGCCCTTAAAAATACATTCGCATGGTGCTTTTTCATTTGGATAGGCCACTCATTTGAAGGAAAACTAATTTAAAATTTGCCTAAGTTGCCAAACTACAAACGGAGACTTAAAAAAAAACAAAAACAAAAACTGTATTCCCTAAGACAAACTATTTTGAATAAATCAACAGGACATCAGAAAAGTAAGATTAATATCTGAGCAGTTATTGTTGGAGAAGGAAAAGAGATAGGAATGCTCAGTGTATATTTATGGGTCGCCTCTTAGTGGCTTTATTACCTGCAGCACTGAGTAGAAAACACACCACTTATATACAGCCTATTTGATAAATGCTATAAAGAAGTCTAAAAACAATCAAAGTTCCTTCAGAGGGCCAATTAAGAAAAGCCACGGTTTTCCCACCACTGAAAGTAATCAAGGAGTTGATTGGTAAGGGATCCATCTTCTTCCTCTTCTCCGGTCCAGAAGAAAAAGTCTCCCATATTGTCATGGTCACAGCCTACACAGAGGCTCCAGCCTCCGGCAGTGAGTAGCTAAAACCAATGACTGCAGCCCAGAGTAGGTTCTTACCTCCTGGATGCGCTTCCTGGCCCGCTGAAGCACTTCTTCATAGCCCTTCTGCCGCAGCTCGCTAAGGCTTTCGTAATACTCCTCGGGATCATCGGTCTCAGTGAAAAGAACCTGGGAGAGGATCTTCCAGCCGCAGGTGTCCAGGCCATGGCCCAGGTAGACCTGGAGCTGGTAACACAGAGTGTCGATCTCCTGCTCCGTCATCTCTGGGGCGCCCCCGAACAACACGGTCCACATGCCAGAGGGCTCCTCGGGGAATACCGGCAGGCACTGCTCCAGCTGCGAGTTCACAGAACACAGCTGCTGGTGCACAGCACGCAGATCCTGGAAGGAGAAGAGCCCGGCCCAGCTACACTCCTCGGCCGGGGACTCCAGCTCGACGGTGGAAGGCGGCTGCTCCGCGTCCGACAGCGCCAGGGCCGCCGGGGCCACTTCGTCCTCCCTCACCATTTCCAGCACCTCTATCTCCTCGGAGACCGCCCCGCAAGCGCTCACTACTCGCACGGAGGACAACGGGGCCTCCCTGGGCGCCGGCGGGGCCCCTGCTGCAGCGGCCCCCGCATCTTTGCCTTCAGATCCCCTTCGGACCGGGCTGGTCTTGGCCCGCACTGGGCTCCTGAGGGGGCTCTCCGCCCCTTTGCCGGCGGGACACCGCAGCAGCGGGTCCCCACGAAGGCTGCGCGCGCTCCGCGGAGAGCCGCCCTCCGCCCAGGCCGCGCTCCTCCGGGGCCCCGGGCTTCTACCCAGAGTCGCAGAGGCCGTGGCCTCCGGCCGGCCCTTGCCCGCTGGGCTGCCTGGCGCGCGGGTCCCGTCGGACGCGGGTGCTCCGGGCTCAGCACCTCCTCGTGACCCCGCCTGCTCCCGGGAGCCGCTCCTCTGCCTCTGGGCCGTCCGGTTGTGGCAGGTTATGGCAAACTTGCCCTCAATCTCGTTCCAGGCCACAATGAAGACGAACTTGTGCTTCTCGCGCTCGTCGAACACATGGGGCCTCACGGCCACCCAGTCCGACTCGAGCGTCTCCTCCAGCGCGAACGACATGGTGGCTCCGGTGCCAGGCCGCGGGGGATGCGCCGGTGGCCCTGCCCGCTCGAAGACTCACCGGCTGGCTGCACCGCGCCCCCCGCTCACCCTCGCTGGGCGCCTTCGGCCATCTTAGCGCGCCAGCCGGCTCTCCCCGCTTGCTCGCCGGGCCCTCCTCACTTGAACCCGCCGCGCTCCTTTGTGGCGCGGCTCGCAGGAAAGACAATACGCGTCCCCGGAGCAGGTAGTTCACATGGTCACGTGCGGCTGGATCTGTTTACAAACCCGGTGCTGCGGCAGCGCCTCGCGCCCGTCCCGGCCGCCCCCAGCGCGAGGCCGCGGTGCTGCGTCTGTGGCTCTCTGAAGGTGAGGAGCGGGTCCCGCGGGGCCGGGCAGGCCGGTAGGCGGTAGGAGCAAGCGGTGTGTAAGTCTCCGCCGCTCGCCCAGGCCGATCTCCCCGCCCCTCCTCCTTCTCCTCCTCTTCCCGACCGCCCGGAGCCGGCCTGACGGATAGACGCGTCTCCTAAACTCTGAGCCTCAGTATCGCCACAATGTTGCCATTTGGCTGCTTACGTAGGCTGCTCCACGAGGGACGTAAACATGGGCACGTGCCGCACGCTGGTGACGCGGCGGCTGCGGCGCGCACACCCCGCCCGCGCGCGCCGGCACCGCCCCTCCCCGTTCCCCGCCCCCGCCCGCGAGCGGCCGCGCGCGCAACTCCTGCCTTCCGCGCAGCCTCCTTCCACAGCGGCTGGAGAAGGTTCTCCACAGAGGGCAGGTTGGGAAGACGGTGAGCGTGGTACGTGCGTCTTGCGGGACAGGTAGCTTCTGAGCCCCGGGGGGAGTCGGTATATGTAACCCCTCTATTCAGAAAGTGCTCTGTAACATCACATGAACTTTATTGGGATGCCTCAGACTGTTGAATTCTCCCCTAACACCCTTGAGACACAATTTAAGATGTGAAAGGGAGGTGTCTGAAGACAGCCAATAGAACTCCAAAACCAAATTAAGTAAGTGAAAATTCAGTCATGTCCTAATAGGATGAGTATTTACATTTCAGTTCATCGGCGCTTTATTGCTTCAGGTTTCGTCATTGTGTACTGTTCTGGGAACCTCGTTTTGAGGTCATTGGCTTAAGTCATTTTGAAGTTGGATTCAATTATCTAGAGACTATCAGAATGCACATAGGAAAAAAATCATGTAAATCTGAAGAATTTTGCTATTTATATATATTTTTCATTAAAAAATGAAACATTTTTTAAATTGCTGGGTGGATCTTATAATCTAGTTTATATTATAGTCATTCTCTTTACTGTTAGCTCCCGATTCATAGCACAGGTATTCTGCATCCACAGTAAAGTACAATGGGAATTATCCTTTTACTTTTATAAGTGTTTCTCAAATTATGCAAAACCATTTGGATTAAAGATGCATTGTTAGCGACACTTACTTCAATACACTGGCATCCGAATAAACAATCTAAATTTTTAGCCCTGTCGCTCAGGTGGACATTGTAGACCTATCGATCTGCTTGGACCAGAAAAAAATATATATTACTTTGGGCAGGATGAGCAAAAAGGGAAAAGGACAGGTTTTTTAAATGTTCTTTTACAATTCTTTATGTAGAACCACAAATTTGCAAAGCCTGTAACTGAACATGTCCCAACTCTCAAATGCAAATCAGAGATAAAACTTTTCGAAATCTGAATCACCAGCTAAGCAAAAGATAGCATATCAAGAAAACTTACCTGTCTTTTCTGCTAAAAAGGTACCACTAAAAGTTTTTCATAAAAAGTGATGACATGATCACTAGCTCTCTTCTTGTAATACATTATAGATTACTTTGAATACCAATAATGAGCCCTAAAAGAATGCTTATAGGAAATATTTTTATTTATATATATATTAAAACTGCAATATCTATCCAAAGATACTAAATTATGTCTTCTCACAATAGTGCTAGAAAAAACTGTTTCGTGGCCACACAGGTTTTAAATATTTTTTTCCAAAGACTTTGACCTCTGTGTTTTGTCAAAGGGGTTGTTCAGTGTATCTCATTTCCTCTTAGTAATTGTTATCCTAGAAATGAAAAGAAACAAACCAAAATTCCCATGGCAGTTTACTGTAGTACTCTACAATTCTTTATCTAGCTGTGTATTTGATTGCCAAGCTAGATCTCTGAGTGTAAAAATTATTCCTTAGGAATAAGTAACACCACAGAAAGCCACACACACCTTACCAGCTTTGAAAAGGCTTGAAAATAATTTTCTGTGTGAATTTTTTTTTTAACTATTGAGGATTGCGAAGTAATCTGGGAAGTGCTTGAACTCTTTAGGCTTTTTAATAAAAACTGTAATCATTTACATAGCAGCTTTCAAATTACATAGGATTTTCCTGCACATTTTTATTTTATCCTCACAACAATCTCGTTCCAGGCCACAATGAAGACGAACTTGTGCTTCTCGCGCTTGTCGAACACATGGGGCCTCACGGCCACCCAGTCCGACTCGAGCGTCTCCTCCAGCGCGAACGACATAGTGGAAAGGGATAAGTCTTTAATTTTACATGTGAGAAAACAGCAGTTCTGATTACTTAGTCACACATTCCAGGACTGAGAACAGGGAATGAATTAATGAATGGAGTTCAGGGGCCTAATGGATGCATCTGTCCCAATTAGAGTCTCCCAGAAGGAGACACTAAAAAGAAGTTCAAAATGCAAAAGTTGATGAGGGTTAACACTTGTAAAAGAAAGGGGGCAGAAGCAGAATTGCACAGACTACCCCAACAGGGAGCTCCAGAGCAAAGATTATTCCTTAAAGAAGTTCCCCCATTGAGTAAAAATGATAAGGCCTTGCCCAGTCATTGACTTGGGACCACCTTGAGAAAAGCATCAGATGATAACCTGAAGCTGACTCTGAAGACACAAACAGCTGGATACTCAGCCAACCACATGCCTTGCAGATGTGGAGTGAATCTTTTTTTTTTTAAGATTTTATTTATTTATTTGACAGGCAGAGATCACAAGTAGGCAGAGAAGCAGGCAGAGAGCAAGGAGGAAGCAGGCTCCCCGCTGAGAAGGGAGCCTGATGTGGGGCTCGATCCCAGGACCCTGGGATCATGACCTGAGCCGAAGGCAGAGGCTTTAACCCACTGAGCCACCCAGGCGCCCCTCTTTTTTTTTTTTTTTTAAGATTTATTTGTTTATTTTGGAGAGAGAGTAAGAGTGGAAGGGACAGAGGGAGTGGGAGAGAGAATCTCAAGCAGACTCCCTACTGAGCACAGAGCCTGATGTGGGACTCCATCTCATGACCCTGAGATCACAACCTGAGCCAAAACCAAGAGTTAGATGCTTCACCGACTGTATACCACCCAGGCATGCCAAAGCAAGTCTTTTCTTAAAGGATGATGTGATTGCCACATCTCTACATCTAGTACAGTTTACCTTGTGTGCTCCATGGATCCACTTCACAACATATTTGGGGAGCAGCTCCGCTCTGGTTAGCCTCTCTTCCTGAGGGCAAATTTAGAAGAGGCAAACTGTAGCCTCCACTGCTATGGTCGGTCTCATGGCCAAAACTGGTACTCACCATCATTCTCCTCCACTCTCTGTTCTGAAGTCTCTCACTCTGCTAACTTTAGTGGCTCACATGGTGGTGTTTCCTAAACTCTCATTCCTGAGGAGTCTGAACTCCTGGTGACCTTACCCATTTATAGCCTCCATTACTACATCATTACATTTGTCACAATTAGGCAAGAGCATACCAAGAGACATCTAGGTGGCCACGAGAGTTCAATGCACATTCCTCCCTGCTCCCATCATGTAACACAGCCCTGCTTCCTCTTACTGATCAGTGTTAACTATCCCTGACAAGGTGGTGATTTCTCTTCTTGCCTGCTACCTTCTGACCACAAAGAGCCCAAAGTGTCAAAGTGGTAGCTGTAGCTTCTGGGTCAATGAGATCTTTACTATCTCATGACAAGAACATACCCATTTTGAAGATCAAGACCTCTCACCTTAACAGAATTCAGCTGGTCACTCAAAATGATGCTGAGGCCACTCCTGCTTTCACTCCTTGGTTCCTGCACCCATGTATTCTTCCCTTTGGGGACATAGTGCTACATGAAGTTCTGAAATTCAGTGTTTATACATGTTTTGGAGAATGGTACCCCCATCCTTGCAGGGTGTTACTTCGGGGCTGGTGCTGCAGCTGTGCCTTCATCATGCCATGAACACTTTATTTAGCCAGCAGCTTCTGGATGTCACAGTATGTGACACGACTAGTGGATCTGTAAAATGAGTTCTCTGATTAGATACTATATTATTTCGTGTCTGTAAATCAGGCATTCTGTTAAGTGGCTTGATCATGCTGACAGGAAAGGCAAACCCATACCCAGATTAAGTTTCTATTCCTTTGAGAAAAACCGCTGCCTCCTCCGGGATGAAAATGGTCCCAAGTAGTCCATTTGCTGCCAAGTGACTGGTTAGCCTCCTTAAGAAAGAGTGCCATACTGGTGGCTCAGTGTTGGTTTCTGTTGCTGGTGTGTTGATCACTCAAAGCGGGCAGTCACTAGATTGGCCTTCATAAGTGGAAGTCATGTTTTTTGACCCTTGCAAAGCCTCCATCTCTTTCACTGTGGTCATGTCATCTGTTTGCCTGTCATGCCAGTGAATGTCAACTAGTCAAGTTACTTTGTCTGCTTGGTCATTTGGTTCCCAGACCATGTAGACACTTTCTGATGGGTATTAAAATACAGTATAACAATCTTCACACCTTGTTCCGACTCGCATATGTCTGTCTACATGTCTTTTTTCCAGACTTCCTCTTCTGTAATATTTGAATTTTTCTTCTTCCAGGACCCAGACCATTCCCCATTGATGAGAGCTCATATGTGTTTTGACTTTAGGCTACTTTCCCTTTCATATGAAGTGGATGGCCAGATGCATCTCCTGAAGCTGTGCACATCGGGAAGTTTTATCTTTCACAAATTGTCTCATCACAGGGCACTTGGGTAGCTCAGTCGGTTAAGCATCTGACTCTTGATCTGCTCAGGTCACGATCTCAGAGTTGTGAGATGGACAGCCCCATGTCGGGCTCCATGCTGGGTGTGGGACCTGCTTAAGATTCTCTCTCCCTCTCTCTGCCCCTCTTGCCCCACCCTCTTGCTCTCTCTTAAAACAAACAAACAAAACCCAAATTGTCTCATCACTATTTTTCACAGCCACACTAAATAAGTTATATAATGCAGACAGCATCCACTTTTTTTTTTAAAGATTTTATTTATTTGACACACAGAGAGAGATCACAAGTAGGCAGAGAAGCAGGCAGAGAGAGAGGGGGAAGCAGGCTCCCTGCTGAGCAGAGAGCCCGACGTGGGGCTCGATCCCAAGACCCTGAGATCATGACCTGAGCCGAAGGCAGAGGCCTAACCCACTGAGCCACCCAGGCGCCCCCAGCATCCACTTTCGATTTTCACCTAATACCAAATCAACCCATCCATAAACCAAGCTGTCGGGGGTGGGGGGTGGTTCCTCCTTCTTCAGCTGATTGAGAGGGAGGTCCCTACTGTCACTGGTATGAGCTCAGAAGGCACATTCCTACATAGTGGA